TGTATTTGTTTCATTGCCTGATCAAGACATTTAATTTGTGGTGCTTTTATTCCTCTTTGTCAAAAACTAAGTAAAATTCTAATGCGTAAAATATAGAACAGTTATTTATAAAAGTCCATGGGTGGTTTTTACGAATGCATACAAGCACCTACCCAGGCAGAGGAAAATGAACCCGACCTGAAAAGGGAAAATGTTGTTACAAGGCTCGACATTCATGAAACAAAAAAAACTATTTGCAAGATCGGCTGATTCAAAGAGACAGGAAAGCGTCATCTCCTCAAAGACCTTCATAACCTGGCGGCAAACCAACAAGCCATCTAATGACGCGCAGACATTACTGGAGCTGATGCAGAAGTGCCTTCGTAGTATTTATGTTTTATTTATTTTGAAACACACAAAAAATAGATATTCACACATTAAGGGATACATTAGGTAGAAATGTGGGGTGTTTGTTTCGATTTGCCATTCCTATCAGCGCTAATTCTTTGTAGCAAATATGTACATACTATATTCCAGATTGGAGCCGATTGTCGGATTCCTTTATAACTGTAACAGTCTGCAAAATTAGCCACTGGCCCATGCAAGCCAGAGGCCAGTGAAATTCCATCGCGGCCTGTTCATGTTGTGAAACTATAAGCCCAACGTGCCAGTGAAAAAAGAGAGAAAATTCAACATTCATTTGAATATGATGATGGGCCTGATAGAGCACCACACCCAGCTGTACATAGCCACACCCATGCACACGCAGACGCACACAGACAGTACATGTATGTCACATGTTACACTTCAGATTAGTGAAAATGATTTACATAGCAGCGCTGAATGCCTGGGGTTTTGGTTTTAGTTCTACGCTACGGGCAATCAACTTGCTAATCACACCATTGCATTTCAACCATGTACTCATTTCAATTGTATTTTTTATGTATTCGACCTCATGTTGTTGTACTCTCATCTACCTCCTCCCCTCTATCTCATCCCTCCTAATAAAACATGCATCTAGCTAATGTTGACAGTCCTCTTCTTGCAATATAGCGCCTGACCTGATTCGTTGTGTGTGTGTATGCGGTAATGCGGGTAGACAATGAGGGCCCGCCATGGGCTGGTGTGGACAGTGGAAAGTGGTTGGGGCCAGTGTATTCTGGATTGCTGGACTTGGCTTCAAAGTTTTTTCGTGCAGACTGCTAGTGTTAGTTAATAGTTGTCAAACTCTTTTCCAGGGCAGAGCACAGTAGAGATCCTTTTGGAGGCAGGTAATTACGGGTATCTTCTTCCAAACTGAGAGAAATGAAGAAGCCTTTCAAGACTTTCCTGAAGTCCTAGTTGATCGATGCAACATACAAGTTGAACGATATTAGAATGCACATGTTTGTTCTGATGGCCATTGATGGAAATGGAAATTATTTTTACACATTGTTAAGCTTGTTCTTATTTATTTACTAAAGTAAAGTCAAGAATCACTGCTTACAAGCTATTTTCTTAGGATACTCTTAAGAATACAGTCAAGCAATACAGGCAGTAAATGTGAACGGCTCAATGGATCTAAAAAAAAGATTGTAATGTACGCTTAGTAATTATTTGTGAAATATTCTAGGTGTATCACATGACAACAAAAACTTACGATATTTCTTGGAAACTACAAAAGGTTGAAAACAAACTTTTGCCACAAGTTCTCTGTAATAATGTAAAAAATGGTGCTCAGAATTTTAAAAAAAATTGCAATTAAGTAAAACTTATTTTACTTATTTTATTAGGTGTAAGTGAGATAGGGTCCCTATGGCCTAGTACAACATGAAGATCGACTCACTTTGGAGAACATGATAAGAATTTAAGGAGGAAAAATAGCAGCCTGGGAAGGAGTGCAAGTGGTGATGGCCGACAAAGACATGGTAGAGAGGGACGTCATGATCCAGGAGATGCCCGGCATCTCACTCTTGATCTGTCTCTTCCACACACTCCGCACGCTTCGACGCGGAAATCAGCCACAGATAAAATGGGCATAACTCCAGCACACGACGAGATGTAGTTATACAAACTGAAAGCAAAATGTGCACCATTCCAGATTGCTGCTTTATTCTGCCAAGTCATTTATTCTGCAAAGTTATGATTGATCGATCATTTGATTGGAAGACAGCCAGAGCAAGTGTCAATGAAATTGATTAGTTGGCCACCACTAATTGGATCGGTTTGATGAGCTTTAGTCATCTGGCGAAGTCAGATGCAGCTTGTAGACCAGTTGTAATATGGATAAATTTGCCCAAAATGAATATCGTTCGGTTAAATAGCATTCAGGTATAAATATAATTGCAATTTTGTGATTGAGCCCTCGGTCTGTAACGTGCAAAATAAATGTTCAAATACGCAACTTTTCTGGTGGCAGCACAGGTTGCGGGTGTCATGGCACCGTTCAAATTTGCTAGCGTTGATGTGTAAGAATTATACAATTAAATTCGGTATCTGGTAACAAATACGTGTGGGTATAGACGATTTGTTATACAGTAAGTACAGTTGTATGCAGTAAAATCCTAGAGTCTACTATCCCTTTAAAGTATAGGTGGAAATACAGAATGTGGCACAAATCTCAGCAGCTAAACTTATGCTCTGATATTCGGTATTATAGAGTGAGGGAGGATACCCATCACCAGTGTGAAATTAGAGGCCGAAGGGCAGTGTGGAGAAAAGTCAGATATCAGACATTTTGTGGGGACATGGTCTAACGTACTATGAGTAAAACTTTCAGCGCTGACCTACCATTTTTACTGACTCATACATTGAAAGGACCATGAAAATGTTGATGTGCGAAAGAGTAAGTGTCTGGTGATTCAGTTTTAGAAAAAGCTGTACTGTCTTTTTCAGGCCTGCGTGAAATGTTGACAAAGCTGCCTACGCAAAAAGTGAAGAAGAATACAGGTGCTGCATACCATTTTCAGGATTCGGCTCGCCAAACAGGTTAGCATTTAAATTGACTGCCACATGGTTAATATACTGGGGCTGGTTTCAGGAAGCATGATTAACTTTAATTATGATTAAATCACTCCCGTAATTATGACTTGTTTCGCGAAGCGATTTAAGTACATATTTAACTAATCACATAATTGGCCGACTTAAGTACGTAATTAGCCAACTTAAACATAATTACACTGTATTCAAATTGGCGGACAACGCAAAAGTACAATTTTTAAAGAAGAAGCAAATTGGTGTACAATTTCCTTCTTCTAACTTCACATTGTGGTCTGAAATTAGTCCTGATGTTAATCAACCAATAACACGTTAGACAGTTTGTACTTTAAAATTTATTATAATTAACATTCTGCGATTGTTTAACCATGTTTGGGTTTATACAGTTCTAGAAAGTTTCATGGCAACCAACAGCGCGTAGACTACTTTCATGAGTTGTTGCTACATAACACTCAATGTTTCACGTAACACAATGATCATATTGGATAGACCACAGCAGTTCTTTAATGCCTGTAATCATTTCTACTGGTCGTTTTATAAATTCAGAATATTTTTGCAGTGATAGACTATTTCAACAAGGAGTGGCACTCAATCCGTCACCAGTGGGTGGAAGGTCTGAAGACTGAAGCTTTCAATCTACTGAACCAACACTAATAACCGGGTGGAGAGTCTCAACCAGAATTGAAAGCTGTAATCACTAAAAACAGGTGAACAGCCAGTTCTCACAGATCTGATGTCTGCACTTCAGTCCATGTCTGTGGAAAAAGACCACCGAGCACTGAAAGTGTTACAAAAGGTTAGTTCAATGAAGATCCATAATATAGATAAATGGATAGTTAGGAAAATGGAAACCTAGGGTTCGCGAGTTATGTTCTTGTGAGAGTAATTGTGGGGAATCGTGGTTAATTTCATTATGATTTCCCATAAATTTAAACGTAATGTGATATGCGATTGAACCAAAAATAAGCTTAAGCACATTGTCAGCTCAAAGATGACCGAAACGGCCCATGCAAGTTAATTTTGCAGTATGGCTTCTTGTTGCTGACAAAACAACATATATGGAAAATAAGCATCGAGGCCTGCCTCGTAACAATAAACTAACATCGTAACAAACAACAATATTAAACTAGTATCACTATTGTACTAGGTTGCTTAAATCAGCAATTAGAATAAAAAACACTACTTTTCCCTTCAGGTTCCAAGTCATCGTGGTTTGAGTAACTCTCCAGAAGAAGTCTACATGGATCTCCTGACACCATATGCTTTTAAATTTGTCAAACCCAGCTAGAGAAAGCACATAGTTTGACTGTGGAGGAACGAGATGCTGGAGCTTTCTGCATCAGATCACCAGCTGGCCTACTCAATCCTACGGTGATTCATGCAGTTGTGGCTTCAGCAGGGCGATGGCACTTCCGTGCAAACACGTGTTTGCTGTGAGAATGCATTTAGGGATGCCTGCAGCTGACCCCTGCCTATGTCACAGACGCTGGACTAAGGCATTTTATGTGTCCAGTCACGGAGCGTTTCTCAAACAAGCGACAACAAACTGAAACACAGATTGCCACCGTTCAAGTGCATCCGAAACCACACAAGTTCCATCACACGCATCAAAAATACAGGAAAGCTCTTAAAATCACAAACAACTTGGCTTCACTGTTGTCTGAAGTGCCTACTAGAGAATTTCAGCAGGTATTAGAATCTGTCCTTTCCATGAATGAAATTCTGTCAAAGGGTGGCAGATTTATAGTGACAGAAGGGACACACAGGAACAGTGCAATGTCATAACTTTTTGCCGGAGCTGGGTGTTACATGCAACACCGCGCTACAGGAGAGCCTGTACTATGACATCCCCGGCACCAGCAGTTCGACGGCAGCGCAGGGCATCGGCAACGTGGAACGACACGATGACATCCCGGCGGAGCAGCAGTTCGACGGCAGCGCAGGGCATCGGGCAACGTGAACGACACGATGAATCCCCGCAGCAGCAGTCTCGACGGCAGCGCAGGGCATCGGCAAACGTGGAACGACACGATGACATCCCGGCAGCAGCAGTTCGACGGCAGCGCCAGGGCATCGGGCAACGTGGAACGACACCGATGACATCCCCGGCAGCAGCAGTTCGACGGCAGCGCAGGGCATCGGCAACGTGGAACGACACGATGACATCCCCGGCAGCAGCAGTTCGACGGCAGCGCAGGGCATCGGCAACGTGGAACGAACGATGACACCCCGGCAGCAGCAGTTCGACGGCAGCGCAGGGCATCGGAAACGTGGACGACACGATGACATCCCGGCAGCAGCAGTTCGACGCAGCGCAGGGATCGGCAACGTGGAACGACACGATGACATCCCCGGCAGCAGCAGTTCGACGGCAGCGCAGGGCATCGGCAACGTGGAACGACACGATGACATCCCGCGCAGCAGGCAGTTCGACGCAGCGCGGGCATCGGCAACGTGGAACGACACGATGACATCCCCGGCAGCAGCAGTTAAGACGCGCAGCCCGCAGGGCATCGGCAACGCTGGAACGACACGATGGACATCCCCGGCAGCAGCAGTGAACGGCAGCGCAGCATGGCATCGCAACGGGAACGACACGATGACATCCCGGCAGCAGCGAGTTCGACGGCAGCGCAGAGGCATCGGGCAACGTGGAACGACACGATGACATCCCCGCAGCAGGAGCAGTTCGCGCGGCAGCGCAGGGCATGCGCAACGTGGAACGACACGATGACATCCGGCAGCCAGCAGTACGACGGGCGCAGGCATCGGAAACGTGGAACACACGATGACATCCCCTGGCAGCAGCAGTTCGACGGCAGCGCAGGGCACTAACGTGCGACGACCCGGCTCCGCAGCAGATCGCGGAGCCAGGGCTCGGAGTAAGCACATGCATCCCCCGGCAGCGCAGTTCGGACGGAGCGCAGGGCATCGGACAACGTGGCAACGAACACGATGGACATCCCGGCGCAGCAGTCGACGGCAGCGCAGGGCATCGGCAACGTGGAACGACACGACGACATCCCCGGCAGCAGCAGTTCGACGGCAGCCCAGGGCATCGGCAACACTTCTTTGGGAGGTTAGTATTAAGCCATTAAACTTAAAGAGAATTCATGTGACAAATGATCATTCGGGAAAAAATTGGCCAATCATTCTCACGTTGATTTGAGAAAAAAAAGTTGGGTACAGTAAAAATCTTTGTACTGGGATATAGCGCGGTATGTAATATAAATACTGCAGTAATTTCACAGCTGCAGTTTCAGGAAAATGTCAAGAAAAGACAATTCGTCAGTAAAAAAATATGTATTTATGTTAATAAGGTACAATATATATTGTGTATCTGCCTTGTTTAGTTCTGACTGAGATTCAGCTGCCACCAAGGATAAAGAGAAGGGGTCGCCCTAAAGGGGCACAACTGACAGTGGCTGGTCTCCCAAGAAAGAGCCAAAGGCATGGGAAGTTGTTCAGCAAGAAGCACCCCCAAGAGAAGAGCAAAAGTAAGTATGTCACCGCAGTCTACAACTAGGTTGTTCTAGAAGCCATCAGAATCTCTTAGTGATAACTAAAGATGACTTTTCCATGACTTTTTACCATCTAATCAGGCAAAAGCAGGTGGTGTGTGCTGTGCTCATGGTAAAATTTGATAGCAAAGATTGATTAGCATAGCTCTGGAGCCAATGCGGGCTACACCCTTTCAGTCTTTATCTTTTAAAAGAACTTCATGACTTAGTAATGGTGTCTTCAGAACTGTGAATTCAGTATAAATGAAATATTTTATTTTTTTTAATCAGATAATTGGACAATCAATATAGCACGTATAAAGTAAAATAAGTTCACATGACCATAGGGACACATTCATTTTATTTTGTTATTTCTGTTTCAGTTATCCTAAACTGGCTGGTTGGGGCAGATGCAGCTGAAAAGGCCCTGAGAGGACATGTTCTACTAGACGAGAGTGAAGTGGAAACCAAGCCAGAAAATATACCCAGTGCCATTCTGGATGAGAACGTAGATGTTCTCAGTGTTAAATTGTTCTTCACAGTAGATGCGTGGCTAGTGGTAGATGATGTATTAAAACAGAAGAAAAGTAACCCACAATATGCATGCCCGATATGTTCTAAATATTTTAATGAAGATGAGGAAGAGATATCACTCTGTTGCGATGGCTGCCTAAACTGGCATCACCTAGCTTGCCTTCGCAAAAAACAACAACCACATTCTAAATGCTGGATATGCAATGCATGTCGTAGCCAGTGATATCAGCAGGCAAAAAATGATAGATCTTTTTGGTTGGATAAGTTTTGGTCAGATTGGCAACCCTGTATTTCAAATATTCAATTTCAAATTCAATTTCAAATTCACAATGAGACTGTAATAAGAAGCAATGTTGAAAGTAACCCTAACCCTAACCCTAAGAAGCAATGTTCACATACTAATCTTGTTAAGATATACTAACCTTGTTAAGACTAAACTAGTTGTGATTGCATTGTGCTGTTTAATTTGTAATAAACTGATTGATTGGAATTTGTTGCATAAGTATTTTATATATTCTGAGCATTACTGTTATTGCACAACATTTAAAAAGGTTTGCATAATGATAATACAGACAACCTCATTTAATTCATATCAGACGGTACCACGGCATTTTCAACAAATTACGTAATCAACGAATTAGACCTCATTCATATTTTCTACAAATTCTATGTAATCCGTAAAAACCACGAAATAGATAGATAATTCGTGTAAACAACGATTTATGAATGAAAGTTTTTACAAAGTTATTTGTACATAGCTGAACAGCTGGATCACGCGTTCGCTCGTACGCACTTGTGTAACATCTGTTATTACATACCAACTACGTCCCTACACTTGCTGTATGCTACATAATATGCACGCATGTTATACAGAAGCGATGTAAAATAACATGTATTTGTTCTACATGTATAAAGATAATTATATTGAAGTTTACACATTTACACACATTCTATATTGAGCAAATCTTGGTTAAATTTTTTTCATTTTATTTCAAACTTGGACAAATACAGTAAGTACGGTTCCACTTGCTATCACACAGAATAGAGAAACAGCGAGTGGTTTATGTACAATTGACCTTTGGCAAAAGTTCACTCCCGAATCTCGCGCATGCTCAATGCGTAACTACGAACTGGCTTATTCATTTTAATTGTTGAGCGAGTGGCAGCGTTTATAAATATTCTCAAAGATAAAATGTTGCTTGCATAAACAAACATCCCCTACGAATTACACGTGTCATTTTGAATGGAATAATGTTAATTGAATTGGAACAGAGAATTTTGTACGACTTACAAATGACAGAATACGAATTATACAATGGAAATTAAAGGGAATAAAGAAGAGAAATATTGGAACCGCATGTTTTTGTATAAATTAGGTATTCTACGAATAAAGTTATGACGAATTAAGCGAGGTTGACTGTATTATTTTATTATACAGCGTGAATTGCACGCTGTTCTGTTAATAGCTATGTAAGGCAGCATAGCTAGGTGCCCTAACCACCATTACATAAACCACCATTGTGCTGTAGGAGCATTTTAAACTTTCAAAGATTATGATATGTATATATATACAATTTAAAGTTAAAAGCGACATAGTAAAGCTATATTATACAGCTAAAAGATAATATACAAAAATGCTAGATATCGTGAGTGAAAATTCCCTTCAATCTTTTCTAAGCCCTCCTCCTACATATCATTATCCCTTTTCTATCTCATTCCTCATCATTATTCTCCCTTTCTGCTTTACCCCTCACTCATCCTCTCTACACTCATGCTCCTCTCCTTCTCTGTATTCGGCCTTTTTTACTGGACCAGATCACGGCCAAAACAACCAGAACTCAGCATCACGAATTGTAAACCGACTGTTACACGGCGCAGGACGTAGTGTAAACGCTGTTATATTGTTCGATGTGTGAGTAATTAAAGAGAGAAACTGGTTAGCGGATGAGACTTGTTTAATAGATATTCGTATTAAGATTAGCCATGCTGCATACAGTGGCTCCATCTGTGGTGAGTATTAGTACTCCAAGATTAACATATTACTATATAACATCCCTCTGTTCACAATGAATATATGAAAGAACTTGTACTTTAGCATTAATGCTAAATATTGCACAGTTTAGCATATTTTAAATGGCTTAACTTTACACAATATTATTTGTACTCTGAGCAACGTTAAAAGAACAAACGTATACGAAATGACTAAGATATCACTCGAGTATACACAATACTAATTATAAGTGTTCATGAATGTTAGGCTTCTTCAATGAGCCTTGCTGGTCTGTTCCTGGGTCGACCAGATGTTCGTTGCACCGGGCCATTGTGTGTGGTCTGGTCGCTATGATGCACCTGCTCGCTAAAGCGCACAGACTTTGTCTTGCTCTGCGCTACCTTAGGAGGGGCATAGGGTCCAGGGGGAGTGCTAGTTGGGGCTTGGTCGAATGAGAGCTTAGAGCTCGCGGTCGGGCTCAGCTCTTTGAGGAATTTCCGGTTCCTCCTAACCACGCTTCCATTCGGGGACTGCACCATGTACGATCGCGGCTCGTCGCACACCGACGTTATGGTCGCTGGTTCCCAGTGTGACTTCCCTGGCTCCTGAACCATGACTTTCATGCCTGGTAACAGACCTGGCAGTTCTGCTCCGGCATGTGTGTCGTATCTCTCTTTGCTCGCTTGTTTCTTTGCTGTCAGCCTCTCGAATACTAGTGTGTCAGTTGCTGTAGCGTCATTCTTAACAGGAAGGTTGGAGCGAACCTTTCTGTTGTATAAGACTTCGGCAGGGCTCGGCAAGCCTGCATCGAGAGGTGTTGCGCGTAGGCACAATAACGCTAGCCTTGGGTCCGTGCCGCTCTGCTTCGCTTTCTTCAGGACAGGTTTGACAATGCCGACCATTCTCTCAATGAAGCCATTGCTTTGAGCGTATCGGGGGCTGCTTGTGATGTGCTCAAACTCCCAGTCCATTGCGAAATTCCGGAACTCGGCACAGTTGTACTGTGGCCCATTGTCCGTGATGAGCCGTTTCGGAATTCCATGCACCGAGAAGAGGTCCTTACAGAATTTGATGACCTCTGCGCTTGTCTGCGTGGTCAAACCTCGGACGAACGGCATCTTGCTGAACTGGTCAGCGACGAGAGCTAACATGTGTCCGTCGAGTTCGAACAGGTCACTCGACAGTGTGTCCCATGGCTGGGATGGCATGTCGTGCGGCTGCATGGGCTCTTTCACTGTGCTGCGGGCATTTTGCAGGCATGTGACGCAGTCCTTGCACGACTTCTCGATGTCCGACATCATGTTTTGCCAGTAGACGGATGCTTTGGCGCGTAGCTGTGACTTGGTGATGCCTTGGTGTCCTGCATGTATGCGTTCCAGGAATTCTGGCTGCATCGAGGCTGGAATTATGATCCTGTTGCCTGTGTATAGGACTCCATCCTCGACTGAGATGTAATCTCTCATCGACCAGTAGCTACGTATTAGTTTCGGCATCAGCTTTGCTTCCGCTGGCCATCCAATCATCACCTGTTCTCTCAGAGCCGAGAGCTCAGCGTCGCTCGTTGTGGCTTCATGTAGCTTGCTTAGCTGATTATTCGTAATCTGAACGAGGTGAATTGTGTGTTCTAGCTCAATCTCCGGGCCTTGTGACGGACTTATCCTTGACAGGTAGTCAGCATACATCACTTTGGGGCCTGGTCTCCACGTTATCGTGACATCATATGGCTGGATACGTAGTAGCATCCTCTGTAGCCTTGGCGGTGCTTCACTGAGCTGCGTTTTCATCTGTATGTTCTCCAGCGGCTTGTGATCGCTGTATACGGTTAGCGGCATTCCGTATACGTATGTATGGAACCTTTCCAGACCATACACAACTGCGAGGAGCTCACGTTCTATGTTTGCATATTGCGTTTCCGCTGGCACCAGAGCTTTCGAGGCAAACGCTATGGGCTTCTTGTCTTGCATCAGCGCTGCTCCTAGTCCGACGGAAGAAGCGTCTACTTCGACCTCCACAGGCTTTTGTGGGTCGAAAAACCTCAGCTTCAGTTCTTCGTGCACTGCGTCTTTGAGGGTGACGAATGCCGCCTGCTGCTCTGCGTCCCACACCCAGTCGGACGTTTTCTTGAGGAGCTGCCGCAACACATGAGTCTTCTCGGATAGGTGAGGAATAAACGGTGCTAAGTGCTGCACAACTCCAAGAAAACTTTGCAAATCCTTGACGTTTTCTGGGGCGGGGCGCCTCTGTATTTCATCGCATTTCTTAGGATCTGGGCTCATGCCTTCCTTCGACCATATCAAGCCATAAAACATGATGCTGGTTTGACGGATGTGGCATTTATCCTGACTGCATCACACACAAGATTGTCACACCCACACCCCCCCCAATACCACCATGTTCTCCACCCATCAGCTTGCTCTACGACCCAGCACCAGTGCCATTATCCATGTTCTGCCCCGTCTTCTGCCAATGCCGCCACAAAATGTCGTCGGCAATTCCCCATGATCCCGGTCCGGCTCCGTATGATGTCATCCTATCGTCTCGCTGAAAGACGCCTTTTCGACACCCGATAAGCTGAAAGGAGCCGCCCCAGCAAACCTGAGCCCTCTTCCTGCCGAGCCGAACTCTGAAGACACAGCTGGGCGCTGCTCATCCAGTACGATTCCCCAATATCCGTGTTTCGCATCGAGCTTGGAGAACACGGTCGAACCACTGAACTGATGAGTGATTTCCCTCGAGCGTGGTGTTTTGTGGTACGTACGCTTTGATCGCCTTGTTCAGGGCCTGGATCCAAGCATATACGTAGCTCTCCGCTGTCCTTGGCGCGCTAACCGCCCAGCGCGACTTCACCCACCCTCAATCTATGCTTCATCCTCTGACACATTTGCCTACACGCCAAGCTTTCCATCCCTCCTTCAAGACCCTCACCCTATCATCCTCTTCTCTTCGACCCCCAATATGATATCCTTCCCCTAGCGCAACGATGCACGAGCGTCGTCTTTCAATTCAATATCGTGCTCACCCCCCCGCGCACTGGCATGCGGCCAACATACCCCTTCGGACCACCACTTCCTGACAACAACCCTGCTGAAGCCGTAGCGCCGGTCTCCACGATGGGAGCTTCCGGCCTGGCCCCCCGAAGCTTCACACCTCATCGCACACCGAACGAACGTCGCCGAAGCAGAATCGTCGGGCTCTCTTCACCATGGTCCCACCACAACGTTCTCGCTTTCCACAACCGAAATATCACCTAACTCTCCTAGTGTCCTCCCCAACATAGAGAAACTGTAACGGGCCCCTGTGTCGCACACAAAGACCACACTCGAATCGCCATTCTATTGATTTTGCCCCAAAAACTAGTACTGTGCAAATCCCCAGACCAAAATACTCCCCTCTCTCCTACGACAGTCCCTTCGCCCGCACGCCGTGTCACTGCCCATAGCAGAGCCCATCACTTCCCCTTGCTACGAGCCTGTTCTCACACATATCTTAACGCGTATCGCGTCAAGCTCCATCCTCAAGTAAACCACATCTGCTAACATAGACATCGAGCAATGAAAATGTTCCCCATTTGCCACCCTGTTCGCTTTACCGGAGGCTGACCTTCTGCCTCGACACCAAGTGGCTCCTCACATTAGTCTTCGCCCATATAAAATCGAGTCTGCATCTCCGTTGAACGAAGTCACTCGACAAACAACTACCTGCTACCCCCACCCACCACGTCGGCGGCCCGCTCTCTAACGAATTACTTCACCACATCGAGTGACGTCGCGCCTTGATAGCAGTTGATCGCAATCACACATCCCGGCCTCCTCTGCTTGAGCGGGGTCTCGCACGCATTCCCTGCCGCTTCTTAGACGGCACGTCTCTGTGGTATTTCCCCTCCTTTTTATCAAACCACTGCAAGTGGTCTCCCTTCCACATTTGCTGCAACTGTTCCCATACCTGGCATTTC